ACACACACACACACACACACACACACACACACACACACACACACACACACACCAGCAGGCATACTCGGCAAATTATACACAGTAGGATAGCGAGCTCTCATTTTCTCGCACGTCCGCCCACTAAGAACGGGGTCCAGCAGTGCGTCCTGCCTTCAGTGTGCTCCCATCCTGCCATCTATACTCTAATCAAGTTTAAACGCTCTGGGTTCGAAGAAAGAGGAGTCATGAATTCAAAATAACACGGCGACACCTACATCACACGTAGGCACGCACACACACCGACACACTTGCATACGGTACGATATCAATTGAAAACGCAGATTTTCTTTTCCTTCTCATAGTTTCAATTGCCTGCAGATGATAAATAGTGATCGGGTGGGCTTTGTTTCGTGGGGTGACGGAATTTTTGCCCGAATCCCCACGGCCTGTGGCAGTGATTACGCGGCGACTCTCCGTACCCTTCTACTGGGAATTCGAATCTTTCCCTTCACAACGCGCCATCGCGTGCGGCGAGCACGACACGCCGTTCGGGAAGAAGATCCCAGACTCCGTTTCGCGCGTCCGTCAAAACTTGGGAACGCCGCAGCCGTCGCACGCGGCGCTCGACCCACGATTCTTGACAAACGTCGCACTTGTAAGTGACAGTTGTATACGATACGACGGCAATCAGCTTAAAGAGAAGATAACGTGGATTGGTGCAAATCACTCGCTTCACTGGCACTTAGTGGTACCTCTCTCCTAATGCCATATTGAGATCGCAGTGGGCTGCGGCATGGTGACCTAGTTTCGACGGGCGCGCGAAGGGGACGTCGCGAACAAGATGTTTTAGAAGGAATATTTTCTAACAATAAAATGAAATGCAGAGCGTCGCCATCAGAAAAAGTCTAGCGGTCTGACTGGAAACAAATGACATTTGAGGTAGCTGAATGGCAGAATCAGTGGCACTTCAGAGCCCATCATCAATAATGATAGCAAATGATGAGAATCACCGTTAGATGGCAGCATGTTGTACAGTTGAATTCTCCATTAACCTCTCCTAACCCTTACACATATGTGAGGACGGCATCTGCCACTGGGGAGGGGTGGGACCCTACCAGTTCTGAATGGTGGGAGCTATAAATGATAGTTCGCGATCAGATAGATGATGTAAATAAGTGAAAGAGGGAATACTCCCTGAAATTCATATTGGTTCAGTTTAGGGCGTTGAACTCTTCTCCCTTTGATCACATTTAATAAGGTCTCAACACTAGAGTTCTATTCAGGATCGCGAGGGCACCGAGTTTGGGAATTCTTTCCTGACCTACAAACAACCCTCTCTAAGTGCTCTTGGAGCTCTCTAAGTGCTCCCTAGTTTAAGGAAAGTTTTTCTCCACCGATTTTACGTAGAAGTCAGCATAAACGAAGTGCTAACTCGCTGCATGGAAATTCTAGAGTAAGGCAATAGTTCATACATTGAGTGACTACTACTACTTTCCTTGTTGCTATTTGCTTTCTGTTGTGCATTCAGCATCGATAAAGAGGAAAAAAACAAAATGAACAACACCAATGGAAACTTTATCGTCAGGGAAATAATTTCCAAAAAGTAAAACGGAGAAGTCGTGTTAGTTTCGTAAATGTTCCAATGGCAAAAGATGAGCATTTGAGCAGTATGAGCAGTCCATTTACTGTGTACTTATTTTTTCGCTGAAGGTATGGACTGCTTGGATCCCTTTGATGCTGTTTTTGACTGGCTCTCTGTGTGTGTAGCCGTTTTACTGTTGCTCTTCTTGGGTCGTTCTTCCTTGTCCATTGCAGGGTTAGCTTTGGGAGGTGGTGCAATTTGCACTGGTGCTGGTCTTGGGGGAGGGGCTGGAGGACCGGTCTGCATTGGTACTGGTTTTGGAGGAGGGGCTGGAGGAGGAGGAGGATTAGAACCAGGAGGAGGAGGAAATGATGGAGGAAGAGGAGGAAGATCCATTGGGGATGAAGGAGGGAGGGACGTCCTTGCTTCACCAGGGTAGCTCCTTGGAGGGATGACTCTTCCTGACATAGAAGACGAAGTCGACGGCTTCTCGGACATCATCCCTGATGTCTTTTGCTTGTCTCTCCCTCTTTCGCTGGTCTGAAAAAAACTATGTAGCTATGATGGCGATAGACGCTCATATGAAAAACAGAGTCACCAATGGAGAGTCAAGAGAGAAGGGAGATTTCGTCGTCGACTTCCTTGAATCTGCAAGGAGTCATCTTTTGAAAACAGGTATAACTTTTTGAATTCAGAGCTAGCTGAATAAACTCAGAACTGACGGGTGATGACGCCTTCATTACCAATACGCGCAGGCCCTCTCACAGCGCCTCCTTTTCGCCTCTGCAATGAGTTGGCGTTGAAAAAGAGCTGACAAAACTCGTAGAAATTATAGAAGGCTTACTTTAGTGTTGAAACTCACTTTTCGATAATTCACGACCATGAATACGGTACCAGCAGCCAGGGTTGCAATGCCGACAGCGACTGCCAGCAGCGTTCGCCGATCTGCGGTTCTCCAGAAGTGTTGAATATCTTCAAGAAGAGTTCGATCAGACAGCTTAGGTCCTGATGCGACTGGTTGAACTTTTGCGGGCTCCATAGTGCAGAATGACTCCAACCAACACTTTAACATCTTTTATAGTTTAATAAGGTGTTATAATTTTACCATTATCAGTTGTTTACTTCAATAAGAATCAGATCATTTCACTACGGGACCTATAAAGAACCAGTCGCAGCTTGTAACTTTCATAAGGCATAAGGCCTAAAGCCTTAAAGCATCGCAGACTTGAAGCTTAAGACCTTTCTGAAGTCTTTCTCTTTTCAATACAGAAGATTCAGCATTTCCGACCACAAAACTTGTATGAAGGAGTTAATCTCTAGTGGGAAAGCATCCTGCCTCCGACACAAAAAGGAAGTAGGCGTGAAGCCTAGAATTTTGGAAAATCCCGTTGTTCCCACAACTTGATGGTTTCGGGAATGGTGAATAAAAATCATCCACCACTGATGGCGCAGCGACACTTTCATATCTTGGCTCATACACGATCGTGGGCTATACTTATGTAAATATGAAACGTACAACAGATCTGGTGGTTCATGCTTCTCAAAGTCGGTATTTAGCAATTATGATTGGGGTGAGTCGCGGCTCTTCGTCTGCTGTGATTTCTATTCCAAAACACCTTGCATCACTCAGTGAAGAGGCAAGATTTCACTGCGAATGCAAGAGCGTAACTGCTGGAGTTGCTCGCGTTCCAACCCCCTTATCAGCTTCTATCACTACGGGTTTATCACACCCATATACACCAACCACCCACGCGTACTACACATATACCCACGAATAGACATAGACACATACCCATATTCACAGACTGCACTCACACGTACACACACCTACGTATATACTCATGCACAAACACTCATATATATACATATATATGTATATATACACCCACATAGATACACGCTCACTTATACACATGCACACATGCCCACATATACCACACACATATGGACATGTACATCCTATATACACACGCACATACAAACATGTATACACACATGAGCTTGCAGATACATTCTCATGTGTGCAGACATTCATACCTTCTTACACGCACACGTATGAGCACATACCCTCATAGGGAATCTATGTGAAAAACCAATGAGAATGAGACTCGGGGAGTTCAACATACTTGAATCGACCATGTTTAGGGAACTATTATTTGCACTGTTAATCACGAAGCACTGGCGCTTCGACCGATGTGAACGCCCAAATTCCATCATCGTGGAAAAGTGTTACAGCCTTTGCTGTGGAAAATAAGAAGTGATGCAGCGATTCTATCAGTATGGACTGAATTGAATCCTGCTCTTTTCGATGTTCAAAGATTTCCCAACTATTCCTATTGAACAAGGTCTTGAGCACCTCGATCAGAACTTTTTGAATTCCACTTTTTTCTTGTACTTCTGACAGGAAATCCGTACTGTAGTTATAACTCCACTGCAGGTTGTCACAAAAAGACACTTAAAATGCGCTTGCGTTCCCAGGAATCCCATTGCGCTATTCGTTTTTTGAACTATTTATCAGTGTTAGTTCTATGACAATGGCAACAGGAAGCCTGGAATTAGTATGAAAACTAGCCAGCCACCTTTCCGCCATTCTAAGCGCTCATAAGACATCAGTGCAAAATGTCTTTTCACAAGACCACTAATTATTAGCTGTAGTAGTCAAGAGCGATCATCCTTCCAGTCAGTAGTATGCGACCCTTTCCAGTTTCTGAAACCAAGTAGTTCCAGTCTAAACTGCCTCGACAAATTACTGGACGGTTACGAGCCCCACGGATGTGATCGTCAAGTACAGCTTGGAAATCTTCTTGGGAATTTCCGAGATTCTCTCTTCGCTTCTCTAAGTTTCAGGAAAAGCCTTCGTGAGTTCGAAGTTGCGGTGAAGGGTCTAGCAAATACCTGCCCACTGCCGAGGTCAAGTTACTATCTTACCAAAGATAAACAACCAAAGATCCTGGATAAATAATGTGAGAACAGGATCGTTTCGAAGTGTTCTCTTATCACCACAAGGCAAAAGATCGCAAAGGTAAAAAACACTCGCTATTCGATGAGTAATGCTTGCAGGACTCGGCATTAGCTAGCTCAATACGACGAACAAGCCGGAATAGTAGCTTTCAGTTGATTAGTTGAACGTTTTTTCTCGGCTGCAGCTTATCTACCCACCCCTTACTTGAGTGCTCACTGATAGCTGATGCATTCTTCTGTGCAGCAGAGCACCCTTCTTCGGAAGAACTCCTTGTCAACATAAGAGGGTACACTAAATCATAAAAAGAACAAAAATATGTGAGCGACATTTCTGTTGGCCAACCGAACATTGTCGAATAGCCACTATGCCACCTACATACTTAAAGGTACAATTCACGAAAATTATGGTTTCAGAGATTCCTCTATATTATAAATTCGAGGCCCCACCTTATACCATAGCTGCCGTTGGAAGATCGAAAAACTTCTTGTTTAGGGCACAATAAGGGGCCAGAGATTGTATCGCATGAGGACCACACCCATAATGGACGAGTTTCGACGTCATTGTTGGGGCTGCACCATTCAGGAGGGAACCTATGTAGAAAATTCGAACAACCAATCGTGATACATGGCAAGTGGTTGTTTTGGACATGTTTGGCCTAATGTAACCTGCTTTTCGCGCAATTGCAATAACCGAAGTCTCGTCTGAATACACCTTTAATGTCATTTCCAACATGGTATCTCGTACAAACTCTGTTTTCACTACTTTTAAGTACTAATTGAACTTAAGAACTACACTTACTATTTTTCGTGGAATCAGCAAATATCCTCGCTTCCACCACCACCAAATTGAACGCTATTTCCAATAATTACGTTAGCTTTTCGACTTGAAATCGGCGAAGAATAGCTGAACAGAGTTTCTTCTTCGTGTACATGAATTTTTGGACGAGATTTCCCGTGGTTGGATGGGTTCTAGGACAAGTGACTTCGCAATGAGAAGAGTATGTGGCCCTTATTCTATAGTAAAGTTTGAGGGCTACTTGTATTATTCTTCACTCACAGTTCATACTTGTCAATCTGCTCTATCCTACCGTCTTAGCCCATGGGACCTATCAAAATGTCAAGGCTACATCGTTCGTAAAAAAATAAAAAAATATAAATATAAATAATATAAAATCACCTGTATCACATGTCGTCCAGTTGATCATCGATTTCCTTGAGCGGGTGCCAGTAACGTCTCCATTTGTCCCAGTCACGAGCCAGAGTGGTCTAGTGGATCGTCTTCGCTTCAGGGACACGAGATCCAACGAACCTTTCAATCAGAGCTTTCGTGAAGAAGTCTGATCATCTCGTTGGCGGCC